AAAGCCAAAATGGAGAAGCCATGTGTGGAAGAAACTAAGAACATCCTTACTGTTTCTATTGGTATGAAGAAGCTAAGTAGCAGCTAAGTGCTGCTATCAAATGACCTTAATCCAGTGGTCTATAAAACCCAAAGTTTTAGGAGTTTGCTGGTCTCCAGCATTGAGGAAGGACATCAGTAATAATCTTAGATAACCCATTGTATTTGCCTATCAGTCTGGGAATGGTTATTTGCAAACAATTTAAAATACATCATTCTATGATGAAGAAGATCATTCACAAAGGTTGGCCAACATTGGGCTACGCAACAGGACAATGATCCCAAACACACCAGCAAATCTACAACAGAATGGCTGAAAAAGAAAAGACTCAAGGTGTTGCAATGGCCCAAAGTCCAGACCTCAACCCGATTGAAATGGTGTGGTGGGACTTCAGAAAGCTGTACATAAACAAATGCTCACAAACTTCAATCAACTGAAGCAAAGTTGTAAAGAAGAATGAGCCAAAATTCCTCCACAGCAATGTGAGAGACTTATTAAGTGACACAGAAAACGATTACTTCAAGTTATTGCGGCTAAAGGTGATTCTACAAGCTATTAAATCATAAATTTTTCACATATGGCTTCTCCATTTTGGCTTTCTTTATGTAAAATAAATGATGACATAGTGTAATGTCATGTTGTTCATCTAAGTTTGTATTTGCTTACTTTTAAGAACAGCTAAGAACCAGATTTTTACTATGTCCTCATAGATAAGACCATAGAACTAAAAAAGGATGTACTTTCTTTTTCACATGACTGATTCAAACACAAACGTAGTCACATAATAATGTGTAAGAATGAACGTTTTGGTGACAGGATGACATAAACAGCTTCCAGTTTAATTGAATACAAAAACTGTTGACATTTGTTTAATCGTTGTTTCCCAGGCACTATTGGGGACTGGAAGAGCACCATGACTGTTGCCCAGAATGAAAAGTTTGACCGTGTCTTTAAGGACAGGATAGAAAAGCTGCCCTTCAGGTTCTGCTGGGATATTCAGGAAGATCCTGAGCCTATTTCCAGTTCAGCGGAGGAAAATAATGTGTGATACACACCTTCAAGTGGCTTGAATCAGAGATGACCTTCCAAGAACGGTCTTTCTGTAACCTTGTAATGCTTAAGTCTCAACTCTGCAGAGATCATAGAACAGAGCAACATCAAATTCTATGTTATTATTAAATATTGTATGGCATTTGCTTATTGATTTATATTTCCATTACTGACTGACTCTGGGTGTTATACATGAAATAAAACCCACAAAGACAACATAGCAAATAAAAAAATATAATATCAACAAAAAAATCCAAAACTGATATAGCCACAACAGCCAGACCCATTTATTATACTTTCCGCCTCCCTGAAGATATATGTTGCTTGATATATCATCTAGCCCAACTCCTAAGAGAAAAATCACATTTTTAAGGCTTTTTTTTTCTTTTTTCTTTTTGAAGGCTAACAGACCCGCAGCCCTACAAATCTTGGCACTCTGTGGGTAGGGTGGGGAAGACACTGAACCAGAAAACGCATATCTCCTGGGTCTCATCCAATGATATTATTTATTATTTAAACAAGTTCATATAACCACCAACTCCTACATGATGCCTCTAGGTCAGTGGTGGCGAACCTATGGCACGGGTGCAAGAGGCGGCACTCGGAGCCCTCTCTGTGGGCACACGTGCAGTTGCCCCAGCCTCGCTTCCCTCTGTGACCCCCTCCTCTCCAGCAGCCCCCCTGAAGGAGAGTGACCCCTGAGCATGGCCCACATGGAGCAGCGCAGCCAAGGACATGGCAGCCAGGCAGCATAGACAAGACTCTGCCCTCACACCCCATCCTGCACAGTTGATGCTGCAGGGTGCGGGCAGAGGGCGTGACCGCCATAGTGCTGCTGGGCTGCCTGGGCAATCTGTGGCGGGCCCTGGAGGCGATGAGTGGCCCTGTGGGCAGGGGGTGGGGCAGGGGGTAGAGTGGGGGCGGGGCCAGTTTTTGGGCACTCGGTCTCTAAAAGGTTCGCCATCACTGCTCTAGGTGGCTTATAACATTAAAATATCAGTGTAAAAACCCATAGCTTCTCTACCCACCCCAGCAACAGCGACCACACAGTTACACCATGACTGGCTCCTTATCAGTTGGGAGTCCCCAGACTCATTGACAAAATCACGTCTTCAAGACCTTCCAGAAAGGTAACAAGGTGGGGCCAATCTTATCTCTAGGGAATACTATTCCAAAGGGAGGGAGTCACCACAGAGAAGACCCTTTTCCTCAGTCTCACAAGATGTACCTCCATAATAGATGGGACCTGTAACATACCTTGTCTTCCTGCTCTTGTGGGTTAGGATAACAAAGGGCAGGCGGCCTTTCAAACATCCTGGTACCAGGCCATGTAGAGGTTTAAAGATGATAACCAGCATTTTGAACTGCCTCCAGAAGCAGATCAGTAATCAATGCAGCTCCCAAAAGAGGTGGTGTTGTTCAGTTGCGAAGTCATGTCTGACTCTTTGTGACCCAGGGACCACGACCTGCTTCTTCTTCTTCTTTAATATTTTATTGATTTTTAACAATTACAATCTTTAGTGCTTAGTAAACAACGTGTTGTCTGGGTTCACACATTTAACATTAACTTCTTCCATATAAATCTGTTTAATATTGCACAATCCAGTGTTTTTTCCCTGATCCTCCTTTCTTCCCAAACTGTTTACATTTTTCCAACACTACGCAAATACCACTCTTGCTACTATTAATACATACAAAATTGAATATAAACATCCTCAGCATGTTTTCTAGTATTATACAAATAACAATAATACCAGTTTATAACCTCTTTTCTAACCAATTTACATTTCAAATGTATTTGCAATTAAAATCTCCTTATTAAATCAATATCCTGTTTTTTAAGTTCTTATTTAAGTTTAATTTCCCATCAATATTCAGAATATCTTTGTCAATTATGGTTTTCTCAAGATTAGTTACATTTATGTAGCAAAGAGTTTCATTTATAGACGCCATCCTCGTATTTTTATATTTCCCTTATCAAAAAAAAGTGCTATTCTAATTATAAATCATATCTTTCTTATTATAAAAATCTAATTATATCTAAGGGTTATCCATTCTTTTAATCATATTCAAACAAATATTTAATCATATAATGTCCCCTCTGGTAGGTCAAATCTTCTATTTTTTAAGTCTAACTCTAGCTTTCTTCCTTTGCCAAGTAGCTTTCCAGGCCAAGGCAATTAAATTGCCAAAGAATTTTTCCT